CGCGTCGGCTTGGCAGCTGCTGGGCAAAAACCTCATTTCTTTCCTTCTTTCCCCAGTGAGCTCACTTCCTCCCCGCGCCGCTCTCTTCCGTCTGCCGGAACCGGCTCCCGGGCAGCGCGGCTGCAGCGGGGCGCGCGGGACTGCGAGTGCCCGGCGAGCTCCGCGCCCCTCCCCGCCCCAGGGCTGGTCTGCGGGGAGATGTCCAGGAGGTGAAAGAGATTCCATAGGAGGAAGTGGAAACCTCTGGTAGGAGAGGAAACAGCCTCTTTTTCTAGCCAAAGTGAGGGCGCCGGCTGGAAGGCGAGGAAGCCTAGGCGGCCGGGAGATTCATCCATACGCCTCTTGACTCGGGCCCAGGGCCTGCGTCTCCTTCCTTCTCTTTCTCACTCTCTTTTCCCCTGCTTCTTACTTTAGTTCACTTGTGTTTTAAAAATTCATATACGGGCCTATTTAAAAAGCAGTTTCACATTTTAAAGTCGGCAGCAGCAGAGGGAGAATGACAAATAGGATTGATTTAATTAGCTGGTAATGCTTCTCTTATGCCCTATAATTAAACAGAGATTCTAATGGCGCTTCAGGGCCCACAAGTGATTATTACTAGCATATTTTACATTTACATTAAAACGCTGTCCCCGGGGTGTAATCCAGGATCTGGCTCCATTTATTCAAATTTCGAACCTGAGTACTGAAGCCAGAACGCGGCTCCCCAGCAATAGAAGGATGGCGTGTGGGGGGGCTGTGGTTTGGTTTGTTTCGCTGGTTTCAGGTTTTGTCCTGTTCTGTTTCTAAGGCCTAAGGAAAGGCAGCCGATGGCTCCCGAAACAACTGTGTCCAGCCAGTACACCGGGGCAACTTCAACCTCACTAAGACCCAGCCCCAAAACATGTATGTATATATGTATATATCTATCTATATATCTCTCTCTATATACATGTGAACTAATGCAAAAGAGCCACTTTGGTGCCTACCCCGCCACAAGTAGGTAGGCACATCCAAGTAGCTCTGTCAGGGGACCGGACTTGGCGCCTTGCAGAGAGACTGCGTGGCCTTATAGAGATCCAGAAGCCCCATTTTGAGCTAGTAGTCTTCTTCTGCAGTCTTTTCTCCAGCGTGGTGATCTAGCAACTTCCCTTCCCCTGCGATTCCGTGTGAATCCACGCTGGTCGGGTCATAGCCTCTCTCCCAGTGTCATAGCCCAGTGACATTGCGCGCTAAAACCTGGTACCCACCCTGGCAACCGGAAGACCTAGTTGTCCTCCGTCCTGCCCCCGCCTTCGATAATGTCCAGGATCCAAGCAAAGCACCTGTCCATGTTGTCACCAGATCTACAAGCGCTTTTGATGAGAGCTGCTGCTCTTTTGGAAACATGATTCCTCTCCCCAGCAGAGAAGAATCTATTCTCCTGGGCTGGCTTAGAAAAAAGAATAACCAAGACAAAGTATGTGGACTGAAAATATCAGCTTCTTTTTTTGAAACGGAGTCTCTCTGTCACCCAGGCTGAAGTGCAGTGGCATAATCTCGTCTCACTGCAACCTCCGCCTACGGGCTCAAGCGATTCTCCTGCCTCAGCCTCCCCAGTAGCTGGGATTAACAGGCACAAGCCACCACCGCCACCCCCAGCTAATTTTTGTATATTTAGTAGAGGGGGTTTCACCATGTTGGCTAGGATGGTCATGAACTCCTGACCTCAAATGATTTGCCCACTTCAGTCTCCCAAAGTGCTGGGATTACAGGCGTGAGCCACCACACCCTGTGGAAAACATCAGCTTTTAATAGCAGTCTTGGAGTGAAGACTTTCAGGAAGTGGTGGAGATAGACCTGCTCAATTAACTGGCCCCAGATGTCATTTGTCTGGCTACTTCTTTTTCTTGCCTGGCCTAGCCTTCTACATCGTTTTTTCTCTTTTTCTGCAAAACATTTTCTGATGCAACTTGCTCTTTATTTATGCGTTTATCTTTCTTAAACAAGTGATCCCTGGAAGTAATTACCTAAGGAGGGGAGAGGAAACCTCCACCCCGCCCCCAATTTCATGAATGAGAGCTACATGCTGACGGGCCAGGTACCAAGAGCATCTTTGGATTTTTAGACTTGAGTCTTCTTATCTGTAAAAAAAGAGATTAAAGCAGATGGACTCTAAAGGCCCATTTCCAGGCTTAAATTCAACACTTTCAAGAAAAAAATTCTTTTCTATTTCTGTGTGTGTGTTTATGTGTATATATATATAAATGTATATATCTATACACTTGGCTTAGTAATGTTCCGTGCAGAGATGCAGATGAGGAGGACAGTTTAAACTTCTAAGGGTGCCCTCCCTCTTTGGTTGGTTCCATCCAGATGAGCAATCCCTTTTGGGAACAGAAAGAGACCCTCAGGGTGGAAAGCACAAGAGGCAGAGAGGCAGGTCTCCTGAACACAGCTGATATCCAAGTCCACTCATGGTCACATGATTCATTAGGGCTGTAAGTCCTCATCAGAGCACAAGCACCAGCCTCTCTGACCCTGCCAATTCGAGTACTAATGCTAAAATCGGCCAAAAGACTGGCCAACATATGCACACATTAATTAGAGTTATGTGGGCCTTTGGCTTCCAGTCTGATGAACAGCTCCAGGGATGCAGGGGGCAGAGGGTTTTTGGGGTCCTTTTCACCCAGCAGATGCCCTTTGGTCCTGTGAGGGCATTAGGCCAATACAGTGGGTGATCTGGAAGCTAACTCCTTTCAGAGGATGGCTTAACCTCAGTAACTAAAGCTGAAACCTAGTAGTAGGTCCCTAAGAGGGGCAGGGAAAAAATATCTGTTCAGAGGAAACGAGAATCAGCAGTAAGCTTTTGTTGTTATTACTGCATCTTATATTAGTATGAGACAGGAGTGCGGAGAAGCCCAAAGTGAAAGAAGATAAGTTTTTGGTATGCATGGAAGACGTGGATACTTAGCAACCCTCTCTTGTGGCACTCAACTGCACAAGCAGAGAAAGTCATGGCTATAGTCCATCTAGAAGATGAAAATGCTTTCAACAGGATTTACAAGGATAAGGGAAGGAGCATTGGGGGTAGGGTAGGGGTAAGCATGGGCTTGATCCACCTTAACTGTAATTCTGACCAGGTACCACAAATCACAGAACATCCCAGAAAGCAGAACTGCCCCCATCCCTGTCAAGGGAGCCTGTGCATGGCACTTTCTCTACAAGGTGTGTCTTCTTCTCCATCCATATCTAACTCCTAGATGGAGGATAGTCAAGGTCAGTCACTGTCTGTATTAGACTTGAGGAGCAAGAGCCCTCAGCCTCTCCATGGGCCACACTGATATAAGTGAAGGTGTCACCTGCTCTGAATAGGGAATGATTTACCTTCATGCCTTTTTGAACTGTAAAGGGCAAAACGTCTGGGGTCTATCAAGTGTATACATAGTTATTATAGCGCAAAATGTGTCTCAATTGTTTTAGGATAAATGTGTATTTCCCAATCCCCCACCTCCTTCCATTATAACCCATATAAACCATCTATGGACTAGAACATGACAAAACAACCTCTCTTATGATAGGAGAAAGTCTATTTATTACTTATATGATGCAGAACAATTTAGACCTTTTCAGTTTGAGTTGGAGAGAGGGGACGCACACAGAAAATGAGGGGCCACATTCCCACAACTCTAGACAGAATTTGATCTTACTCTTCCTACTTGCTTCTTTTACTTCTTTCTCCCTTTTTTCTTATTCTGGTTCCTCAGCTACAGAGAAAAGACAATTCATTTGGAGCTCTCGAGATTAATAATTTCACATGTGCCCCATCTTCTCATTCCCAGATGTTTGAAATTACAGTCAGGTGGAATCTCACACCTTGCCCAAATTGTATTTGATATGAGGCTCTTCAAAGCTTCCGGGACACCTTCCTTCTTCTCTCTCCGTATCAGTAGAACAGATACAACTGGAGCAATCTGCACTATTCTAGAATTCTACAGGCATTATTCTATAGCCATGACTTTCTCTGTGTGTGCAGCTGAGTGCCAGGAGAGAGAGTTGCTAAGTATCCATGTCTTCCATGCATACCAAAAATTTCTCTTCTTACACTTTGGGCTTCTCCCCACTCCTGTCTCATAGAGATGATATTTGCTTTTCTACTCATTAGGAAGCTCTAAGAAGATGCATAAGAAATGAATTACAGTGAGTGAGGCAAATGGAGAGACTTTCCACATGTACATTTTCTGTATTTTTAAACCATGCGAATTACTGCCTGTTTATGAAAAATTAATCTGATTAGAATATATATGAGAGACTAGATGCTAAATATATTTACACATAATGCCACATATTGAGGAGGAGGATGTTACCTACTGAAGATACAGGATTGAAGAACATGCAATAACTTTCTGCTTTGCTCAATGGGTCATAAGTTGAAAATCAGACTAGAAAATAATATTTGTTCACAGAAGCATAAAATCTTAGGTGAGGCAAAATGCACACTATTCCTCTCCCCCCTCATCTTCCCAAATGCAGAGGCTTGTCAGTTTAAAGTCATTTGCTCCTACAGTTAAGGGCTAGGATCATAGACTTGGAGAACTGGCTGAGCCCTCGGTCCCAAGTGGAAAGGCCAAGCTAGAACACAGTTAAAAAGAAAGACTGACATGGTCTAACAGAGGATTGAAAATAGCCTTTTTGTTGTTGTTGTTACAAGGAGGACAAGACCTTTTTCCCTAGAAATGGGTGCGTCTCAGAGCACTCCCCTTCACGCACATCCTCTTACACCTGCGTGGACTGAGCACTTTGCCCGCTTCCCAAGGCTTTCTCTAGGTGTAAAAGTTCTTGTTACTCACGAAACTTTGTTTAAAGTCTAAATAAAATAAGGAGGAGTAATGATGTTAACTCAGAAACAAAGGGGTCAACTCAGCAGGGTGTTGAACAATCGACCCCCTCTACCCACAGGTCATTAAATGGCTCCTGGATGCCAAAAGATTTTAAGCTAGAACTGTTTTCCCTTTCAAGAAATATGCAAATAAACAAATCAATTCCACCAAAGGACAGAGCTCTTCAGCTCATTCTTTTGTTTATTTCTCCTGCAGCTTTTCCTGTTGCATAGTCCCAGCTAATAAACAACTTAAAGCACTCTTACAGCGAAGGTCAAATTGCAAAATAGAAGAGACTTAATAGTCTTATTTAAAGGTATGCTATATATAAAATCACAGGGAAATAATATCTGTTCTATTCATATGTGGCAATAAACAGACCCGCCCCAAAACACAAAATCAGATTGCCTTTTCCCACAAAGGCGGATGGTTAACAGTAGGATTTCCAAAGGGCACTCATTTATGTTGGAAACTCATAGGTATTTCACAAAGCGACAAGCAGAAAGAATGGATCAACATTTGTAAAACCCAAAAAGGTGGCAACTGGGGGGAATGGTGGGGCAGGAAGGAAATGGAAGGGAGTTGAAAGAGTCCTTGGTTTCCCCAGCTGTTAGCAGAAGTTGGAACATGTGGTGTCAGGGTTTTTCCAAGATGACAAGGAATAGAAAGTAAAATTAATTCCCTCCAACAAATGAATGCCTTCCAACAAAAAAGAATGCCTTCCAACAAATAAAGATATATTCTCAGGTTGGAGACTTTTCTCCTTCCACAGGAAATGAGCAGAGGTCACTTAGAACCAATTCTCATCGTTTAGTAAAAATAACAGGGTGATTATAGAAGCAACAGAAGGAGTCAAGGTGTTTGTGCTAAAAAACTTCAAGTTCAGGCCTGGCCTGGAGTGGGAATATCCAAATGGGTTCTTCATATTTCAAGTTTTATAGACAGTCTTTTCCCTAAAGGATATACTTTCATTAGGTCATAAATGCACTAACAGATGAGAGAGGGAAAGAAGGGTGTGTGTGTGTGTGTGCGCGCTTGCTTGCTTGCTTGCTTGCATGTGGCCAGAATGGCAGAGCAGGTAAGGAGGTCGGGCTGTGGGGGGAGGTGGTGGGGCTGTGTGTCACTCACGTGCGCCGGCAGCAGCCAGGGACCACGAGTTCAGACGGCCCTCTGTGAGGCTTCCTAGGCTTCTGCTTGGTTATCTTAGCTCTTAGGTTTCCCTTGGGTTTCCCTGAGGCACCGAATTGCTCCAAATCCAGGCATTTACTTGCTTTAGAAGTGGGGTGGGGACGTGTTTTTTCCAGAGGGTTTGTTAAAAATTTAACTCGGAGAATTATATTAGTTGGGGCCTCAGTGCCTGAACTTGGGTGGGAGAAAAATGAGTTATTTGGCGACTTTCACTTTTCGCTGGGCACTAATTCCCCAGATTGGAGAGGTTTACCTCCTCCAAGACCCAAGGGACCCAACTGGGTGCCCTCAGGGGCCAGTGCTCTTCATCTCCCCACTCCCTGCTGCATACAAGAGAGGACTGTGCAGACAGAATCGTCCTGACCCGCTAGCCACGCAGGCTTCGGTCCGCGCACTCCTCAAAGTGTGTCTGGGTTATGCTACCAGCATCAATTAGCCGCTTCTGGGGCGTCCCAGAGAATGTTTAATTAACTCCACAGCTCTGATTCACACTTACAAGTTGGCAGCAGTTTAAAAATTATTGTAAAACACCACCCGGATAATATATTTACTGTTTGTCTAGGTCAGATTAGCAAGACACGCGCACATCCTCTACGTTTAAGTTACACACTGAAATGCAGAGCAAATATTTCAATAGGCATCTGCAAGCGGCAGAGAAGAACTGGAGCAATGATTATTTTCCTCCTTTTTGATTTTCTGTTTCTAAAGAAAGCATTGGTATCAAGGACGAGTTAGGTAATGTGTATTAACAGGCAAGCAGGTCGCTCTCGTTTACGCCCAATCACAGTTCATAGTTCAAGGAAAACTGACTTTAATTGACACCGTGTATATTCCTCTGCTCCTCTCAGGCTGCCCTGGCAGGGACGCCCCAAGAGTATTTATTTCTAGGGCTGGAAACAAAACAACCAACCCCGTCTACTGCGTAAGAGAGCGTTCCAAGATGGACTGCCGGAGAAAGGCTTTTTGACCCCTGTGGAAATTAGTCATATTGACAGACGCCCAGGGAAGGTAAATTACCCAGCGCGCTGACGTTACGCAGAGGCTCGCCGGGTCGGACTCCACCGCGGCGCCAAGGGGGCCAGAGGCTCCCAGTTCTTCCCCCCATATTTCGACAAAGTCCCGCTTCGCTTCTCTGGGCCCGGGATCTCAACGAGAAGACGGCCGAGAGAGCGGTAATAAGGTGCTAGAAAGGAAAAGAGAAGAGAAAATCAAAAAAGTAGAGAGAAATTCTGTGCGCCATAGCACTTAGCAAGCTGGGGAAACTAGGAGAAAACGAGCAAAGTCTGCAGGGGAGGGAGAGAGGGAGGAGGCAGGGAAGCAGAAGACCACGCGGCTCCCGGCGCCCAGGCCGCCACTTGGGAGGTCCCGGCCCCAGCGCAGGCCGGGCCAACCGTCCCCCCGGGAGGCTCGGGGCTCGGGAGGGGTCACAATTACACCTCGGCTCCAGGCGAGGACTTAAAAACCAAGTGGCGGGGACTGCAGTCTGGAAGCAAGGCCCTGCGGTCATCAGAGAGGGGCCAGGCCCGTGCACAGGAACCTTTTACAAGGCATGTGGGTACAAGAAAAAAAATAAAAATAAACCACTCTTATCCAGCATGGGCAGTGAAAAGAAAAGCTGCCTTCCAGAGGGGGCGAGCGGGAGTTTTGAAATTCAATGTGTGTTTTGCCTTTATATAAAGAGTTTTGCGTTTTTACGGATAACCAAGGGGAAAAATGAGAGGGAAGTAACTATTTTTTTTTTCCTGGAGAGGGCTGAAATAAGGGGTTCACCGGTTCTGCAAGTAACTGCGTACATCCACACAGCGCATCACACAAACCTGAGAAGAATCCTTGCGTGACCGGATTGTTTCTGGTACAAAATGAGGCCTAGTGGTCCCACCTCTTTTCTTTTTAAAAACTGAGCCTGTGGAGGGGGCTTATTGGAAAACATCCAAAGTGTGGCATCTGATTTTACCAGAGATTGGATTGGAGGTCTTCTTAACTAAGAGTCACCGGCTTGGCCACAAAAGACCCGGGTCTGGTCGCAAAGTGAAGGCAAAATTAGTGTGGGTCCCTTGCCTCAACGGCCCGGGCCCTCGGAGAGGAAAGGGCGAAAGCGTAGTCCTGGGCAGGGCCAGAGCAGAGCAAGTGGCGAGCTCTTCCCAGACCTCGGGTCTAGTCTAGCGTCGGAGGTATTTTTAGCTTTCTCTCTGCTCCCCAGAGGCTCTTTGGTAAGCCAGACAGAGGCTCTGCAAGCTGCCCTCGCCCCAAGGGCTGTGGGAGTAGGGTGGAGGAGGCTGCACTAGTATCTCGAAGAAAAAAGAAATTGCTTATCTTTACGTTAAAACAATATTCGCGCTCTCTGGGCTCCCCTTCTTCTGTTCTCTCGCTTTTTTTCGCCCGCAGGAACATGCCAAGTTCCACAGTTTAAGAGGACCGCGAGGGCAGGAATGGGTGGGGCCTGGAAATGAGCTCGGAAACTGGGTGCGGCGCACCTTCCTCTCTGCCTTTCCGTCTCTCTCCCGGCTGCGGCTGCTTCCCGGGAGCCAGTCTTGGATACCGAGGGTGGGGGGCAGGGGGAATGGAGGAATCTCCGTGGTCTCCAGGGAGGCAGGGACCCCGGGGCATTTATGTAAAGTTCCTGATCTTTTAAAATAAAGGCTTAAAATAAGTCCAAATGTTTCTGCAACAGAGTTTCCAACACACAGTTTGTTCAAGAACGCGAAAATCGGGACCCACACTAGCAAACCCCAAGTGAGTGAATTCTTATTATATAGAAACGGGTCTCCAGGCGCCCCTCTCACCTTGGAGAGACCTCAATCCTTTCAGGCTTGGGCCGCAGTCTGGACTTCCGCAGTCCCCCTTCTCCCCATTCCAGACCCTGCAGAGCCCTGGCAGCATCTGGTACCCGCCTTCACCATTTCCCAATCTCAGCAGTTAGCCCCTGCGCGCCCTTTTTGGCCTCCCTAACAGACACACAGGCACTCAAAACCAACTATGGAGTTGGACTTTTTCAGTTTCGTTGCCGTTCGAAAGTGCCCAGGCTGGCGGATCGAAGCTCAGCGGAGCAGAGACTGATGGCTGGCGGGAGCAGAGTCTGGAGCCAGGCCAAGGTATTCTCTGCTTCCGCCTTTGTGTCCTCCCACCCCCCCACCGGCCGCTCCCCTGCTCCCCGCATACCGCCAGCATCTCCCCTTCTCTGCACAAGAGTGTGCGGCCCGTGCGGTCCACCCTGGTTTTCCCGAGGTACGCTGGAGTTGCCCCCAAGTCCCGTCGGCCGCGCCCCAACCCACCGGATTGCCTTCGGGGCCCTTCGGGGCTGTGTCTTCGGCGTGGCGCTGTGAGCTAGGCGAACAGGAACCCCCCAAGGCCCGCCACATCTACGCTATTACCAGCCAGGTAGCCCTGCAGGTCGAAGATGCTCGGAGGAGGAGGAAGTGCAGAGGAAAAAAGAGGAAGGAAGAAAAAAAAACACTTAACATACACACACATGCACTCACAACCAACTTTGGAGTTAGACTTTTTCAGTTTCACACGAAGAGGCCTGGAGTATCTGCAGAAGGTTTTTGAAGACGTTTAGGAGGGAGGGTGAGTTTTCTGCTGAGAAACTCAATCTGCCATACAGTAGCGGCCCCATCTGGGATCTGTCACTACTGACAGCACCACAGGGCACAGCCGTGATCTTCTGCACAGCCTGCACTCCCCGAAATACCCTCCTTAATCAAAGGATGTCTGCGCGCCTGAGCTCAGCTGACCGCGCCGGGAGCACCGGAGCCGGCCGATCCCACCCTGGCCCGCCCCCTTCCCACGCACACGGCCACGGCCCCTCACGTCTTTGCCGCATATTAATTAAAAGCGGAAAAGAGACAGAGGCTGATGTCATTGCTCTCACAAGATCGTAAACGTAAAAGAGTCATCCTGTGAGAATCCCTGAAAATGACTTTAATGAATAATTTCAGAGACAGTTATGGCTTTGGGTGATTACTGAGCAAGAATATGAAAACCAGATTTGCAAAGCGAAGGCGATGGTCAAGAGGCCTGGCCGTTACTTTTTCCCATTAAAACCGCACCGGCTTTCCTTCTCCAAATACTAGTTACCAACTGAGGTTGCGTTTTCAGGTTTTCTTTTTCAAAAGCAACATTCTTCTTTCCATGCTTTTCTGCCTTATCCTAAAGACAAAAAGGTCAGCTCCAGGCAACGACATTAACAACCCACTTTAAATTGAAGGCAACCCTGCACTGTCATCAGTGGCCATTGGCTTCCATCTTTTTACAAAGGATGGATTTACTGCCATCTTAACTTAGGATCATATCTATTTTGGCCTCTTCTCTAGAGTATATAATGAAGGTTGAACTTTCTCACTGACTCTGAGTTAGTGCACTGTTTGTTGTAAAGGATCTCAGCTGGTGGGGCAGAAAAAAACAAGTTCCAAACAACCTGCCTTTACAGAAAAGTTTACTGGACTCTTTAGTTCTGGGTCACCAATCAACTGAAAGATGATTTGGTGTACACTAAGGAATGATATTTTCAAACACTACCTCTGGTCGTGGAGGAATGTCAGGTTGGTTAGATCTGGTTGCTCGTTTGGCCATGCATTAAATATACTATTTGAGGAAACAACTAGGGTGTTATTTGCAGAACTGACCTGGTGAGTATATGCCCATCTTTTGCACCAACAGGTTAGCTGCCTGCAAGTCTGTCTTCTTTGCTTGAAAATATAAACTGGGACTCTTTGGGTCTGTGCCTCATGTGGATTTATTCCATTTAATTCAAGTAAAGTTTGTTTATACTCTGAGCAAGCAAGTATTATAGGCACAAGTGATGTGGAGTTTTTGTTTGTTTTTTGCTGTTGTTTGTTTGCTTTTGAGTGGTCTGAGTGATTTAGGAAACTAATGTGTCTCAGTTGGCTCCAGCATTCAGTCAGATCATGGAGAACCCACTTATCAGCACTCTAGAAAACTGTACTTTGTGCAGACATTGCCGGTTCCTCCCCTTTCTAGAAGCACAGATAGGCCAGAATCCTTCAGTCATTAAGGACACAACTGTCTAAAAGCCTCATTTCCTACCCTTAGCCCCCAAACCACAGAGCTGTTTCTTTCCCTCTTGTCTCCAGATAGGGGTGGATGGGAGAGGGGACGAGGCTCTCAATGTGACATTGCCGTGACTTGAGAGGAAATGTTTCTTTCTGGTTCTAGATTAAGTGAAGACACTTTGGAGTTGGCCAATAGGGCTTCCTCAAAGAACTGAGGTGATGTGGACTTTTGGGAATTTCTCTCAATTGGATTCCCTGTTTGTGAAATTTTGTTTCCCAAATAGATCTTGTCACTCCACTCACATCATGATCTGTTTTCCTTTTCCGATAGTTACTCTCACCCTAGCTTCTGACAGAACACTCCGCTTGCCCTTTGTAGCCCGTGCAGGGATAAAGAGCATCTTCTGGGTTTGCTTTGAATACTTGCGCTGCTCAGTGAGTCGAAGGTGTAGGGCTGATCTATAATAAGGCTAATTCTCTCCTTGTAAAGACTTAATAATGCAGGCCTCGCTTCACCCATCTCCCATTCTCACCGTCCTGAATTTCACGCGGGTAGTGGAGAAGGTGCCCAGGGTGGGAGACCCGTTGGGTGGGTGTGGCCTCCTCTGGTACAGTGGTTTGGCATTCTCTGGGGGAGATTTTGAAAATTGCAGGCTCCGAGTCAGTCCCTGCACCGCGGGATCAATTTCTGGTGAAGGCAGGGTGAAAATGGGGTTGAATTTGTCATTGTATCAAGTTCTCCGGGAAATGGACAGTTCAAGTGTTGGATTCATCCCAGCACCGATTACTTCAGGAGAGACCAGGTCAGCCCGCAGAACGCTGGAGTCAGAGGTCTGGGGCGTCAGTCTGCGCGCCCAGAAAATATGCAAATACAAGCAGCCTCTACCGTGAGCACTGGGACTTAGTAAAGGACAAAGCTGCCGCCAGCCGTCCTTGCCCTTGGGAGACGTCAGTATTTGCTTCAAGGACAACTCCCTGGGGGGCTGGGGGAAGGGCGGGGCGAAAGAGGGTCGGGCACCTCAGATCTCTGGGTCCTCTAGGCTTTAATAGCAGGTGCAAAGGCAGCTGCTAAAAGACATCGCATTCTGTAATCAGCTCCTGCCAGGCCGTCCTGCTAGACAGAAACTCCCACCATTTTGGCCAGACAGCTGTAGGGCTGAGCGGGTGCCAGTGGTAGGAGGGCGCCCTTAAGAGCCACCCTACCCCGTCCGGAACTTGCACTGGCACCGTCCCGGCCGCTGTTGTTGCTGTAGAGAAGCTGCGCCCTGGTGCAGGGACGCAGCAAAGAAGCGACCGCCTGCGGAAGGCTTTCCAGGCGGAATGCTTCAGCCGTAGCGAGTTGGGAAATTTAGAGTGGGGAGGGGGCAGTAGAGACGTTAACTGGCCCCTCCTCACCCCAAACAAGGAAAGCACAAAGTCTTCTGGGCTAAAAATACATATTTATAAAGTCCCTGTGCGCAGGCGGGCGGCGCGTTCCAGCTGCCGGCCTGGCCCAGGGAGGACTTGGCCGCGCGGCCGCCGATTACACCCAGCTCGGCTGGGATGGCTCCGAGCCGTCTGCCCTGACGTCAGCGAGGCTCCGGCCCCGCCGCGGCAAGATAGGCGAGAGCGGCCGGGCGCGGGCGCGGCACTAATCACTCCCAGATGTCCCTAATAGCGGAGATAAAGACCGACAGAGCGACCGGGAATAAATTTGTAATCAGGGCTCTACCATCTGATCATCAAAGCGGCCCAAATGCCGGGAGCATTTGAAGGGAATGTGTGTGTAGGGGAGTCGCGTTGGGGGGAGGTGAGGGGTGCGCCTCGCGATGGGAACTGGCTTCGGCAGGATAGAGCCGGGAGAGCAGGGCGAGAGATCTGTAAGCTCTGTGCACGGAAGTCAGATACCCAGTGCTCTTTAACCTCCAATAGCCCGCGACCGAAACAGCTTAGCGGTTCCAGGCTGCTTGGAGCTGGGCACAGTTGCTGTGCGGGAAACTCGCGTGGAACAGCGGCTGGGTGGTAAGGCGGCGCGCTCAGAACTGTCCGGCCCCCGGAAACGTGGGATTGGTTTCCTCTCCCGGAGTTCCCTCTCCCCCTTCTTTCTAAACATTTAAAAAACACGTAGTCCTTCTCCCCCAACCCCCATTCCCGGTAGACTTAATCCCAACAGCAATTCCTTGCACCGCGGAGCTTCCACAGGGAGGGGGCTGTTGGAGCTTCCAATCAGGGTCTCGGGCCCCGGGCTGAGGGTGACTCCTGGGTTTTTCTCTCCAAGAGATCCGCAGGCTCTGACGGGCCAAGAGTCCTGTGCGTCCGGGAGACTCCTTAGCACTCCCTCCTCGCGTGGAGATATGGACTCTTAGGAGCTGGGCCCAATGGAGGGAACGGGTGCCCTCAGGTAACCAGGGTCCAGATTCGGCCCCCTACGGTGCCCACGCCATAAACCTCCCTCGAGACCATCTCTGCTTGGCACCCACTAGCCAGTTCCTTTCCCAAATCTGGGAGCGTAGTTGGGACTCACAGGCAGGGAGAACTCAAGGCAGCTGTGGAAAACAAAATCGCGTGCCGCCCGCGCAGCCTTTGGTTAAAGCTTCAGGGATAACTGAGTGGTTTCTTGCGCTTTGCAAATCCGCAGTGTATATCCTGTCCCAGTTTTCCTGGCACACTTTGTCCCGCTCATGTCCCTTGCACACACACCTAAGGCCCTTGCAACTGGCCCGAGTTCTCGCTGCAAATCTGTAGTGTGGGAAGGAGCTCCTAGGTCTCCTACTCCCTGCGGCTTTGCATTTCAGCTCACCCTCACCTTCCTCCTTTCTGCGAATTCCAGGTGCGCCCACCTCTCTTGTTCTCCTGCTACTTCACCAGTCCAAGTGGGAGACTAGCTCTGCAATTCACGCCAAGCTGGGGCAGCGACCAGCAGAGTCGGATGGAAGGAATTGGGCCACCCTCCATTCCTGACACAGGACACATGCACAAGTGCTTTTTCTAACAGGCTCCCAGGCTGTGCTCTCTGGCACTGCTGCTACACCCACCTCATCACAACCAAGCAGCCTGGTCCTCTTCCACCTAAGGAGGCAGCCCAGACCACAGGCCCACCCTTCCTAGATGCCTCGGCCTTCTGGTGAACTGATCCAGAAAGCTGGAGCTTCCCACCGAGCCCCAGAGGGTGGCCCCGCGATTTAGAAAGCAAGCAGGATCCCCAGTGATCTTGCTGTTATCTTGGGGTCTCGGCCTGAAAAAGCCTTTCAAGTTGCTGCGGGTGCACGGGCAATTGAGAGCAGGGCCCTCACTCTGCAGTTTCCCAAATTGCTTCCCAAGCTGAGAATGAGTCTGCAGACACACACACACACACACTCACTCTACAACTGACCGAGCCTTTGCCCCGCCGGTGCTCCAGGGTTATCAGGCGCTTGGCCTGCACAGGGTCTGGGGCCGAGCCCTGACAGCCAGATCTACCATCAATTTACCTTCCGCCGAGGCAGCTTCCCATTTAGCTTTTAACGTCAAATCCTACATTTTTGTCGGCTCCGGCCTGTCTAGAACGCTTGTGATTTCCCTGCAGGAGTGATTGCTCTTAACAAAATGGCAGCAACCACATTATTCGAGCAATTAAAACAGAGGCCTTTTAGCCGGTCCCACAAGTAGAGGCTTGGAGAAAAATTTTAAACAAAGAAGAAAAAGTTAAAAGAGAAATAAGTGTTGGAAGAGAAAAGCATGGAAGCAGAAGAAACGCCTGTCCAGTATGCCTTTCACTTTCTGGGACTTGACAACGTAGGGCGGGGATGTTGAGTGACTGAGAGCGTTGGATGCACAGGCGGCTGGGGTGACAGATAATCTGGGGTGTCCTGCCGGTTTCTGGTCAGTCGGGGTATGCGTCTGGTTAGGGGTTTCAGCCGCCTGGAGTGTCAGGCAGCTGGACATTCTGCTGTCTGGTCTGCTGGGTGTCTGGCTGGTTAGGGTTTCTGGAGAGTTGAAATGGCAGGGCGGATGGGGTGTCCGGGTCTGGTGCTGCTGGCCCTGAGGAAGCCGCGGCGCAGAAGGAGGAGCAGGCAGGCAGCGCTGGGCAGGGGCCAGACAAAGAGGAGCGCAAGTTTAAAAAGCACGTGTATTAGCAAGTTTCTCCATAGCCATGGTGCACCGGCATCTTTTGGCTTCCCTCTGTTGGTGTTTATTAAGCCAGAAAAAGTGTTAAACCTGCAGAAGTGCCTTAAGGCCCAGATGGCGGAGACCAGCTACCCAAGGCGCACAGAGGCGTCCGGAGAAGATAACTCCTCTCCGGTTCCTGTTTTTAAAACCTCACCTCCTCTACCACTGTTTACTCCAACACTTTGGTAGGCTCGTTTCTTCCAAGTCTAGGACCCGATGGCTTTCTCCTGAGCGGATTAAAATAAAGACGCAGAAAACAGCTGGAAGCAGGAGACGAAGAGAGAGCCACTCAAGCAAATGTGGGAGGATTGGGAGAGCAACAGAAAATCAGGGCGCGCCTCCCCCACACCTCCTCCCCGTGCAATAAACAAAGGCAAGTGTCTGTAAACACAGCCCTGCGCCCACCAGGTCGGCCCAGAGCCGGCTGACCCAAGGGGAGAAAGTTCAGATCGCTTTGACCGAGTTGTTCTAACCCCTCACCCTCGCGTTGTCAGCCGCCACAGAAGTCAGCAGAGCCTCTTGCTTGTCTCTCCCCGGGCACTTCTGAATTCGCCCACGCCGGGTCTGATTCAGCCCGCTGCAGGCGGAGGGGTCATAGTGGGCACGAGCGAGGTGTGGGAACCCTTAGGATATCGCAGGAAGGTCTGTGCCAGCGGCCCAGGTGCAAACATCACCCTGAGGATGCGTTCCAGGATGGAAACACTCTGACAAGCCTCTCCAACACCAGATTTATATACACGACGTTTCATGAAATAAACCACTTTTTAATATGGTTCACCTTTCTCTCTTTCTCTTCCCCTTCCCTCAGCCTGCACAGTCAGACACTTTAGTTTCTCTGGTTTCTAGAGCTGAGATTCGAGCTTCTGCCGAGGCCGCAGGCCAAGGAGGCTGCTGGGACTTTCTTTTGGGACGAGCTGGGACTCTGGGAACTCAAAGACCCAACAGGGAGAAGTCCCGGGTCCCGGGCTGCTGGTGTAGTCCCGGGAGGGTGTCGCTTGTTCCACTGGGCTGCGGCCGGGAAGACTTCAGACACCGCACAGTTAATATTGAGTTCGCTATAACTCCTTGTAAATCTAACCCGCTCCTCGCCCCCCTTTAAAATCGTGGTCTTGTTAGCGATTTCTTACTTGACGTAAAATTCCTTGTTACCTAATCATGGACTTTTTCGAAACTCCTTCCACCCCCTTTCCGTCTGCTCAGATGAGAATCCCCTGTATAGCATACAAGCAAAGCCTCTCTTTTTTCCTTTCTTGGATGAAAGTCCCATAGTTTGAATTAAACACCCCAGACTAGTTCCCGCTGCAGTAATACTGCCGGGGTCCTCCTCACAGCTCCTCCACCAGAAACGCACTCTCCAAACAAAAACTGACGCCCTCATGAAACCGCTTCTGATTAATTTCAGGGAAGCAAGGGCACCTTTGCACCTTCTGAGCGAACTGCGGACACTGGATTCTCCAGCCCAGGTCCTCCTTGTAGAGACCACTCAGTGTTCTCCAGCTGGGGGAAGAGGGAAGGAGACACCACACCAACAGAGCCCAGCAGGCTTTGCAACAAGGACACTTTAAGAGCACCTCCTCCCGCTGCGTAGACCGCAGGTCAGGTTGGCTGGTTGGAACCACTGAGTCTTTAAAATAAAGTTAGAGGCAATCATGATAATTTAGTTTACTTCTGAATATTTTAAATATTATGAAAACAAGTATAACAGCTTTGTTTTCAAAACTCTTTTGAGGTATCAACCATGAAAAGATTAGGGTTTTTGTAAAAAAAAAAACACACAGTGGTTTATTGAATACTTACAACGTTTACACCTTCAATATTAATTAAATTCCATTTAGTTTTAGAGGACGGAAGTGCACAAAACAAGTGGCTGTTGGAAACATATTCAAAGAGGGAACGACCACAGATGAACGGACAGCACTAGATACCGACCCCAACGGAAATGTTAGCGGCCTTGTTTTCGGCTTTGAAATAAAACTTTATAATCCCCAGGAATATTTATATCCAAAGGCCAAGTATTAAAGATACACTTCACAAACACACTAGTGCCCACTGTCTTTGTCTGGAAGGGGTTGAGTAGGTGGGGCGGGGGCAACGCTGCTGTCTACACAGCCAAGAGGGAACATTCACACACACACAATCTACGAGACGACGGGATCCCTTACCACACACGGGAGTGTCCTCTTCATATTAAAATATGGAATGCTTTTCTTCAAATATCCACTTTTTCTTTTGGAGGGGGAGATGGGGAGCGGATGCCTCAAAGGGGGTCAAAGAGAGGGGAAGGAAATTGCACATAAATAAACCGGATGATTCCAAATGCAAGGAGTCCTCAGAGCGGAGCACAGACGGCTTTTCCGGAGTGCTGGGTCTGCATCTGGCGCCTTGGCCAGGGCTCACTCGCGCTCTCCTCCTCCTCCTCGTTCTCCTCCTCCTCACTGCTTGAGCTCCAGGGCCCAGACGTGCTGCGGCCAGCCCGTCCGGCCTTTAGTTTTCTTGTCGTTGCTGCTCACTGTGCTTTTCAAGATTTCGTTCTGGGCAGAGGGAAGGCGAGGGTGAGAAAAGTGGAAAGAGAAATTCAGAGAGCATACCTTGTGCCACACTACCCCGGTGCTTCCTGGGCCGGAGGAGACCTTGAACCAGGGAGGAAAGGATACTAGCGGGGAGCTCCAGCCCCTGCAGAGAATCTACAAAGGTTAGCGCTACCCTAGCCTGCTCCTAGGCCTCCTTGCTGCAGTGCTCAACTACCAGATCCACAAGTTTATAAACAACCGTCCATTTTCGAGTCGTTTATGGAGGAGCTGGGGGCCTTTTCTCTTACTCCAGATGTAGGAGCGGGAGCTGGAGTCAGCGCTTAGTCTGGTTTTTCTGTTTTCAATAGCAATCCCACATCCACATCTAGGAAAAATAGGGAGAAGGAGCCTCTGGTTCGGCCTGGGCCTCTCGGCCACAGGCTCTCGGTCCCTGGCTCAGCAGTGCCTCTCCTCCAAAGGCCTCTGAAATCTCTGGTTATTCGGGAGTTCACTCGATTATGCAGCCACCAAAGGGCTACAGGGGCTAAAGAAGAAAAACTCAACAAATGCAATTATTTTCCGGGCCCTTCGTGGCCATAGCTCTATCCTGCACCACCGTCCTGTGGGCACTTGGTAGCAATCTGAGAAAACTGTAAACGCCTCCGTTTACTTTCGTGTTATTTTTTTTAATAACAATGACCATAGTAATGCTTTTTTCCCATTAAAATGTACAGGCTCATTCAAATAAAACTAGAAATGCCCATGGAATATATTCATCTCAGAAATTACATTTTAACGTCATAGCCAAAGAAAAATTGGAGCTGTATTTTGAAGCCCAAAGTACGTATTTTATGTTTACCATTACGTCTTCCGGGCATAGTAATGACAACTACCACAAAACTCAGGACTCAGTCTCAGTGGCAGCCTCCTTCTGGGGATGGGGTAGGGGGTGCGATCAACAGTGGTCATTGGGATCAAGGGCTTCTTCAGGACTTATTCTGGAAACATCTGAAAGCAAGATCGGATTGGAGGCCAAAAGAAGGGTCTCACAGATACGGGGTGAGGCATCTAGGCCAGTGTGATTGCGGTCGATCGTGACCCAGAGTTTTCTAGGTCCGTCCTAAGTGCCTAGGGAGCAGTGACAACCCGGAGGTAAGATCACCAGCGCAAAGCATCCTTAACCTTCTCCTCCTCCTGCTGACAACCTCCCCTCATCTCCCTGCTCCTGCCGGAAACCATCCTCACACAACCTGGTGCAAACAACCTTGGCGCCAGATGCACGAGATGCCATTTCCAGCCCCACTGGAAAGAGGCCGGGAGCACCGGTCCGCTGACCCCTCAGCCCCACAGCGCGCCGCCCCCTGGTACTGACCAGCTCCTTCTTCCTCTTCTCCTCTTTCACGTCGGTCTTCTTGATCTCCGCCTTGAAGGCCTCCGCCTCGCCATTCTGGTCGTCCTTGGCCAGCAGGTCCATGAGGTAGGCGATGTAGCTGGTGGCCAGGCGCAGGGTCTTGATTTTGGAGAGTTTGGTGTCGGCGGGGACGTTGGGGATGCACTCGCGCAGTTCGGCGAAGGCGCTGTTGATGCTCTGAGTCCTGCGCCGCTCCTTGCGGTTGGCGGTGCCTCGGCGCTTCACCGGGCGCGGCCCCCCCAGGCCCGGGGGCCCGGCGCCCGGCGGCACCCCCCCGTAATGGGAGTGGTCCATGCCGGCGGCGCCGCTGGCATACTCGGGGCTGTAGGACAGGGCCATGCTGTAGTCGGGGGGCGACATCTCGGGGTGGCCGATGAGCCAGCCGTGGAAGTAAGGGTTCTCCTCATGGCTGCAGCGGCTGGCGGCGGCAGCCGCAGCTGCGGCGGCGGCGGCGGCAAACGGGTAGCCCTCGTGGTGCACCACCGGGTGGTGGGGAAAGCCGCCCACCAGACTCATTTCGCCCTCTGTGCCCCTCCACACGCCCCAGCGTGCGTGCAGCCCTGCCGCGCCCTCGGCCCGGGCCCTCGCCTCGGCGCTGGGCGTCCTCCCCCACCCCCCCCCCCCCCCAGCCCCCGGGCGCCCGGGCCCGCCCGGCAGCCGCAGAGGGGGCTGCTGCAGCCCGGGCCCCGTCCCCGCGCCTGGCCAGCCGGGCCTGCTTCAGCAGCGCTGCGGCCGCTGACTCCCCATGGGGCGCGGCGAGCTGGTCCCGGCACCGTGCGCCCCTGGCCGCCGCCGCCGCCGGCTCCCGCCTTGCTCCACGGCCCGCGCTACTGCTGCTGCTTTCCGGGCTGCTACGCAGAGGTAGAATCCTCTCGTGCTCATACAAAGGTGCCGGGGCTCCCGCGAGGCTGCTTCGCAGAGTCTCGGGAATCCACGCCCCGGCAGCGTTCCTGGCCCCGAAGCTAACCCGAAATCCAGGGGCGAGTCTGAGCAGCGGCTGGAGGAGCCGGTCTGGCTGCGCCGGGAGGCGGCGGGGTCGACTGCTCACTGCAGAGCTACCTCCGTGCGACCCTCCCCGTCCCGCCTCTTCCCCTCCCCCCACCAGCCCGTCTGGGTTCTTGGGCGCTTATTGTTTTAATGGAATTTTTGGTTGTTGTTGTTTTGGTCCTTAAATGTGATTTTAGCTGTGAGTAACTTGTCCTCGCTCGTCTCGGGCTCTCTCGGAGGGTTTTCAGAGAGGTCTCAGTGCATCCATTTTCTCAGATCCTCTCCTTTCGGGGCAAGGATCTGGGGCCCTGAATGCGCCTTGGAGCTCGAAGGCGGCGGCTTGGGCTCTTGGAGGGCTCTGCGCGGTGGCCGAGGAAGCTCCGGGGTGGTGGCGATGGTTCTCCTGAGCCGGACGACGTGAGGGGAGCCAGCGGATTTTCCCAGCAAGATCTCCATCTACAGCTACATCTTTAGGGCCGCTCGGGTTAATATATGTCGTCAGAGGGTCCTAGCGCCAATCCCCGGGCGGCGGGGGCGGCGCCTGGAGCTCTCGGCAATAAAACTTTTTGATGTTCACGTTGCTAATTGGCGAGGTCCTCTTCCAGGATTGGCTGCCTCCTCATAACCATAAGATAATTAAAACTTGGGGGGAGGGCAGGGTTAAAAAAACTTTTTTTTTTTTTTTTTTTATCAGCAGAGGATAATGCAAGTGTTTAACAGATGCTTCGCTATTAAACTATTTTTTTCCCCCAAGTCTCAAATATTGAAGAATCTCTAACCAGGTACAGTATCACTCTGCTTTCTTTTCCAGTTAAAAAAGAAAGAAAGAGAATGCAGGTATTGCTTTTCAAGTGCTTTGTAGGTAATGGAGGCAAGAAAATAGACGCAGGCAGCTTCTTACAATTTTATGCAGGGGTCCCCGGGAGCCTAGTGGCAGGCAGTGGGGGCCCCCACTAAGGTGCGGATAGGAGACCCGCTGTCTCCTTGCCCCGGGGGCGGCAGCGACAGGGAGGGGCTGGAGAAGGGTGTTTCTTTGACCTGTTTACAGGCTGGAAACGCCGGTCTCAGTGGCTATTGACTAACCCACCCTGTTACCCCGGTTAGAGCTGTTTGGGGTGGCTCACGTTACTGCGGCAAACTTTGGAGATAACGGCTGGGTCCTCCGGGCGCACGATCAAGCCGATTGTAAACCTGTTATTTCCACATCCTTCAGGGACAGCAGCCCCAACGAAGACCTCGGCAGATTGCAAAGTGCGGGCACCTCGATTCCCTGAATCTGTAGTGTGGCTGGTATCGGTGTTCCCCTGGTTTAACTAGCCTGTTTGGTAAGTAACTGAATATTTTTTACAGCGTGTTCAGAGCTTATTTTCCAGTTTTTATGAACAAACATATAAATACATCTCTGCATTCCTGCCTCCCTCATAAAAGCGGGCATCTGTGGAAAGCAGGTTTAGTTATCGGAGGGGAACCATTAAACGCCAGTTTAAGAGGCAGGCCGGGAGGACGGCTCGTGGATGTTTAGACTGCCGGCCTTGCTGATCTTGAACGCATTATAATGGAAAATGGATCTCCTCTTGTAAGTCACCGGCCGCGGGGCACCCGGGCCGCAGCGCCCGCGTGGTGGGAGCTTCTTGGGAAGGCTCGCGTGCGGCGAGGGGCGAGGGCGGGTGGTCAATGGCAGAAGCCGAAATCACCCCAGGCTTGGCCCTAGCCGAAAGGGGAGGCTGATGTGTATATATAGATTCCACCCAAAGGAATTCGGTGTGGAAAACAGTGTCAACAGGAGCCCGCCGGCTGTAAATTAGAGGGAGGCGAGGACAGTGTGCGGGGCGCTGGCGCGGGACGGGGCGGCCTGGGGCTCGCCGCTGGGCAGGCCAGGGTAGCCCAAGGGAGACCAAAGACTCCACTTCGGGCATCGCCCTTTGGAGGCGGGCAGAGTCCAGCCGCAGGCCGCAAGGCGAACCCCACCTGAAGGACTCCACAAGGACGGTCCTTTCCTTGCTCGCCGCAGCCGACAAAGTGGTTCTGGCTGGAAGGCGACATCAGTGCTAGTGGAGGGCGCCCCATTGGCTTTGTGGTTGACTCTGAGCTCAGGCCCTGCCCTCCACTAGCCCTAGAGTCTTGGGCAGCAGGATTGAGAAAGACATGTATTTAGGTTTGCTGTAGCTGCCCTGTAGGAGAGAAGGACTTAAAAGCCCAGGATGAGAGTCGTGTAGGGTCCATTCCATTTCTATGTAAGGGTTTAACATTCTCAAACCACCACCACCCACCACCACCACCACCCACCACCCCCGGCAAAGCATTCAATGCCTTGAGGCAGAATAGGGAGTAACTGAAACCAGGTTCCTTGGTAAGCGCCAGGGGCTTGCAGTTGAGCTGGGAACAAAATAGTGACCTACATACAGCTCTAAACCCCCAACTTGTGTGGGTCTGCAGATTTGAGCAGCTTAAATCTGCTGCTCTACAAGGAGAGCTTTTTAAAGACCTAGTTCTTCAAGGAAAGAATACAGGTAGTGTGGTTGGGGGTTTTGTTTACATTTTCACCCGGAGGCAAACCCTGAATGTGTAAATACTGGTAGTTCAATTCTCTGACATTTGATACGTTTTTGAAAAGTCTGTTTATAAAAACACTTTTAGGCCTTGGGAGCAGGTAGACAAAGTAAGGTTGCACTGGGCTGGGAACATATAAAAATTCAGGGAACTTAGTTGGTTGGCTGTGTTCAGGCCCAGAGGGAGTTTTGAGAATTTAAGGGAAGAAGAAGAGTCTAGAGGAGGGCCGAGTTGGGGATTGAGATGCTCTGTCCACCAGAGGCAAGCGGTGAGTGCCTCACTTTTGAAGTCTTCAGAATTTGCCACTTTAAGCCCTTCTCATGCTTTTAATTGAAACAAACAAACAAACAAACAAACAAAAACGAGTGAATTGCTTCATGGCCCCAGATAGCATTGGAAGTGGTAAAGTAAATGAGCAACTTGATACAGAAAAAAGAAATCATAAAAGATGCACATCAGTTCTCACTGGCAGTGTCATTATTTTCAATACAGATAGTAATTAACTGTATTATCAGTTAATTGCTGTGGTCCAAGGGCCTAAGATGATATAGCTCAGAAACCCAAACCCCGAGGCCACTGCCTTAGAAAGGTGGCTTGATGAGAGGGGACAAATGGGTGAACCTTAGTGGTATCCCCACTGGAGTAACTGACTCAGGGAGGCCAGGCTGGTCCTGACTGGTTGAGCTCTACCCTAAATGCACAAACAGATCCATTTTTCTCTTGCAATGTCCTGTGGCCTATTTTGCTCCAGGTTTTCCAGGATACTGGGCTAGCATGCTCCGTTGGAAAGATGGGAAGCAAAAGATGCCATCTCAAGTTTGCCCCCAATTTAGGTTTCCCGGGCATCCTGGTGGTAGTGACGGCGGTGGTGGTAGTGGTGGCAATGAAGGAGAGGGTGGTGTTGGTGTTGAGAGGGAATGTGGGAGAAGTAAGGGAGAAAGGCACAGTCCCTGAGGTCAGCACGGGGATCCGACACCTGAGCTACACCAGTGTGGCCGCTGGTGTACAGGTTCGAAGTACTCAAAGACCCAGGGAACTGGCCTGCTTGGGGCTCCTCTGCATGCCTGTGGAAGAATTCTAACTAGGGGTGCTTCTCTGTCTCTCCTTGGAGGCTGAGGGCTGGCTGAAACCGGTCTCATCTGGGTCCAGAAACTGCTTCACAAGGAGGCAGCCTGGGCTGGGGTGAGTGAGGGTTTGGGATACTATGTCTTCATTGTAGTTGATAGTGCACCTATAGTGCTGTGCATGTCATCTGCCTTCAGCCAGATAGATTCGGGTTCAAACATTTATTTTGTTCCTCATGTCACTCGTCTCTTTGCCATCACTGCTACTGCTTTCCCTGGAAAAGATTGGAAGAGCACCAGAGGGACTGAGCACGCCCTTGCTAACATTTCGGTCTTGTGAGATATTATTATACTTTAAAATATCAGTCTGGTTTAAACTAATTTTAAGAAGTCTTCAGTTAGGTTTTAACTAAAGATTGTCTCAGGGTATTTATTATTTCAAAGGCAAGGGCAGTTTTTATCCTCTGTTTTGCTCACAAGACCTCAAAATAAACTAGACCCAAAAAGAATCAGGCCAAAGGGTCATAAATGCACATTTTATATTCATGGGAATTATGGCTCAATTCTCATCATCGTCTTTCAAATCTCGTTTCACTTTGGTTTTCTAACCAACATAGTGGAAGTGACTCTGATCATTCCCTTCAGAATCTTTAATCCTCTTACATGAGATGAGCCTCAGAACATGCTAAGAACCTCTGAAAGAACATCAAGCCTGGAAGGTGACAGAAGGAGCAAGAGGTTCTTGAGGATGTCACCTCAGCCCACCTGCTCCAAGGACGGTGCTTCTTGCGACACTGTGATGGCTCTGCATTCCTCTCTATACCAGGGTGGGGTGGAGTCATTTTACATGTTATCCACTTAGTCCCAGGATGTTTAGGACGCCCAGAACAAGGCATATTGTCTGAGTGGTGGCAAGGGTCTCCCTCTAACTGGGGTTGTGTAATCCTTCCCTTTCTTGTTTGCCTTTGGGAAATGGTTGTCTACAGACATAGCAAGTGAAAGTGGCTCTAGGAATGTGCTGCTGCTCAAAGCACACATCTGCAAAGCAGAATCAAATTCTATTGGATTTGCGTGACTATTTTTAAAAAGGAAGGGCAAGAAAAGCTGCCCTTGTGTCTTGTGAGGATTTTTCCTTCTTCTTTTAAGCAGGTTTTGGATTTTGGGGTAGGGAGTGTTGTATTTAGTGAGTGGATCCTCTTCCTTTTCCTTTCCTACATGGAGAGATGGAGGGGGGAGGGGCTAGTTCAGCTGAAAGATGACCGTGAGGGGCTGATTGCTTATAAATCCTTCAGCCCAGCTCTGATTAGAAAACAGTTAAGTCAGTGGAGAAAATCAGGGCTTGCTTAGTGTCTGCATTTTCCCTTCTCCTCTTTCTCCTCTCCCTCCTTCCCTTCTTTCCTCTCTCCACCCTCCTCCCTCCCTCTCCCTCTTCTTCTCTCCGTTTCTCCCTTGTAATTTGTCCCATAGAAGCATTTGGGATTACAAGGTGTTTTCTTCCTCCATCACTGGATCTGCAACTAGTGTGGAAGAACGAAATTCTGGTTCACACTGAAGTCTTTTAAGACAAATCTTAATATCCACGGTCATTAGAATTTTCCTTTCTTTCTAAATAATCAATGACTAGATCCCCATATTAACTGATAGATCTTTTGCTGCACTGGAGGGTTTTCATCGATAAGGGACAACTAAATATTTTGCCAGGTGTCCAAGTGTGTCTGCAAGTCTAGAGTACTTATTCAGACTAAAGGGACCATAAGATAACCCCATGAAGGCCTCAAAGAAGCAGCATGATGTAGATACATGGAAGGTATTATTAATGTTATTATACTAGTCCTAAGAGGTACAGTAAGTCTAAGCTTTGCTGATCTTTGCTACTTTGTAGTAAAATACAAAGTTTAAAGCAAAACCAGTGTGAGAACATACATCCCATAGGATTTATGTTAAATACTCATTCAAATTATTGTTTCAAGCAAATTGCATGCACACTAGTGATATTATCTTCCAAGCCGAGCCAGGAAGAAATCACTCAACATTCAGATAAGGAAGTGTGATTTTGCATATGTGTTCTATGGAAATAGTAAGTAATGGTCTTCACCTAATTTGCAATGTATTATGGGGTTCAGAATAAAATACAAGTGCAAATGGCAATTTAAAATGGGGCTTGGGAGAGAAAACATTTATGTTACTGAAAGATTTGCTTCTGACTTGAGGCCCGGGAACATTCCTAGTTTTAACTGTAGTGTTGCATTCCTGGGAAGTTCTGTTCCATAGCCTCCTTTTCAAATTCACATAGATGGATTTCTTTAGCTCTGAGAGTTTCCTCCAAACCTTTCCTACATCATTCCAGGGCCCTTGCTTATAGACAGGGGAGTTACACCAGAATGGTTAGGTTTCAGGTTAACAAAAAGAAACACTTTTATTGTCAATATTAATGGCAAACCTCGATTTTTACAAGGCTTGGGTTTAGCAGTGTGAGCAGATCAAAAGCAGCTTGGTTTGATTTCTCAATATTCTCTGGAGCTTAGACAATTAACTGCAATTTTGCTGTTAACGAAACAACACAAAAAAAGTTACTTATAGGAGTGTTATAGGTAATCTTTTGGCAGAGACTTTAACCTGAACACAACACATCAGAAACTAAAAAATGTATCTACTGAACTTGAGTTGAGTTTTGCAGGAAAAGTCCTTAAGAAAATGTTGCATGAACTGTG